TTCAAAACAATGTAACTATTCTCGTAAAAGCAAAACGTATTTCCCTGGCAGCGGTGGGATTCGAACCACGCCGCCGAAGAGACTGGTGCCTTAAACCAGCGCCTTAGAACGCTCGGCCACGCGACCGTCGAAAGGCCTCTGGTTCGCTCCTTTACTGCTCACAAATTATTAATTCTTCAAAACAATGTAACTAGTCTCCTAAAAGGAAAACGTATTTCCCTGGCCGCGGTGGGATTCGAACCCACGCCCCCGAAGAGACTGGTGCCTTAAACCAGCGCCTTAGACCGCTCGGCCACGCTACCGTAGAAAGGTTTGTCGTTCGCTGCTTTACTGCTCACAAATTATTAATTCTTTAAAACAATGTAACTTTTCTCCTAAAAGTAAAACGTATTTCCCTTGCAGCGGTGGGATTCGTACCCACGCCCCCGAAGAGACTGGTGCCATAGACCGCTCGGCCACGCTAACGTCGAAAGGTCTCTCGTTCGCTCCTTTACTGTTCACAAATTATTAATTCTTCTAAACAATGTAACTATTCTCCTAAAAGTAAAACGTATTTCCCCGGCAGCAGTGGGATTCGAACCCACGCCCCCGAAGAGACCGCTCGGCCACGCTACCGTCGAAAGGCCTCTCGTTTGCTCCTTTACTGCTCACAAATTTTTAATTCTTCAAAACAATGTAACAATTCTCGTAAAAGAAAAACGTATTTCCCTAGCAGCGGTGGGATTCGAACCCACGCCCCCGAAGAGACTGGTGCCTTAAACCAGCGCCTTAGACCGCTCGGCCACGCTACCGTCAGAAGGCCTCTCGTTCGCTCCTTTACTGCTCACAAATTATTAATTGTTCAAAGCAATGTAAATATTCTCGTAAAATTAAACGTATTTCCCTGGCAGAGGTGGGATTCAAATCCACGCCCCCGAAGAGACTGGTGCCTTAAGCCGGCGCCTTACACCGATTGGCCACGCTACCGTCGAAAGGCCTCTCGTTCTCTCCTTTACTGCTCACAAATTATTAATTCTTCAAAACAATGTAACTATTCTCGTAAAAGCAAAACGTATTTCCCTGGCAGCGGTGGGATTCGAACCCACGCCCCCGAAGAGACTGGTGCCTTAAACCAGCGCCTTAGACCGCTCGGCCACGCTACCGTCGAAAGGCCTCTCGTTCGCTCCTTTAATGGTCATAAATTATTAATTCTTCAAAACAATGTAACTATTCTCGTAAAAGCAAAACGTATTTCCCTGGCAGGGGTGGGATTCGAACCCACGCCTCCGAAGAGACTGGTGCCTTAAACCAGCGCCTTAGACCGCTCGGCCACGCTACCGTTGAAAGGCCTCTCGTTCGCTCCTTTACTGCTCACAAATTCTTAATTCTTCAAAACAATGTAACTATTCTCGTAAAGGAAAAAGGTATTTCCCTAGCAGCGGTGGGATTCGAACCAGCGCCCCCGAAGAGACTGGTGCCTTAAACCAGCGCCATAGACCGCTCGGCCACGCTACCGTCGAAAGGCCTCTCGTTCGCTCCTTTACTGCTCACAAATTATTAATTCTTCAAACAATGTAACTATTCTCCTGAAAGCAAAACGTATTTCCCTGGCAACGATGGATTCGAACCCACACCACCGTAGAAACTGGTACCTTAAGCCAGCGCCTTACACCGCTCGGCCACGCTACCGTCGAAAGGCCTCTGGTTCGCTCCTTTACTGCTCACAAATTATTAATTCTTCAAAACAATGTAACTATTCTCCTAAAAGGAAAACGTATTTCCCTGGCAGCGGTGGGATTCGAACCCACGCCCCCGAAGAGACTGGTGCCTTAAACCAGCGCCTTAGACCGCTCGGCCACGCTACCGTAGAAAGGTCTCTCGTTCGCTCCTTTACTGCTCACAAATTATTAATTCTTCAAAACAATGTAACTATTCTCCTAAAAGCAAAACGTATTTCCCTGGCAGCGGTGGGATTCGAACCCACCCCCCGAAGAGACTGGTGCCATAGACCGCTCGGCCACGCTACCGTCGAAAGGCCTCTCGTTCGCTCCTTTACTGCTCACAAATTATTAATTCTTCAAAACAATGTAACTATTCTCCTAAAAGTAAAACGTATTTCCCTGGCAGCGGTGGGATTCGAACCCACGCCCCCGAAGAGACTGGTGCCATAGACCGTTCGGCCACGCTACCGTCGAAAGGCCTCTCGTTCGCTCCTTTACTGCTCACAAATTATTAATTCTTCAAAACAATAAAACTATTCTCGTAAAAGCAAAACGTATTTCTCTGGCAGCGGTGGGATTCGAACCCACGCCCCCGAAGAGACTGGTGCTTTAAACCAGCGCCTTAGACCGCTCGGCCACGCTACCGTTGAAAGGCCTCTCGTTCGCTCCTTTACTGCTCACAAATTATTAATTCTTCAAAATAATGTAACTATCCTCCTGAAAGGGAAACGTATTTTTTCCCTGGCAGCGGGGGGATTCGAATCCACGCCCCCGAAGAGACTGGTGCCTTAAACCAGCGCCTTAGACCGCTCGGCCACGCTACCGTCGAAAGGTCTCTCATTCGCTCCTTTACTGCTCACAAATTATTAATTCTTCAAAACAATAAACTATTCTCGTAAAAGCAAAACATATTTCCCTGGCAACGGTGGGATTCGAACCCACGCCCCCGAAGAGACTGGTGCCTTAAACCAGCGCCTTAGACCGCTCGGCCACGCTACCGTCGAAAGGTCTCTCGTTCGCTCCTTTACTGCTCACAAATTAATAATTCTTCAAAACAATGTAACTATTCTCCTAAAAGGAAAACGTATTTCCCTGGCAGCGGTGGGATTCGAACCCACGCCCCCAAAGAGACTGGTGCCTGAAACCAGCGCGTTAGACCGCTCGCTCACGCTACCTTCGACAGGCTTCTCGTGCTCTCCTTTACTCCTCTGAAATTCTTTATTCATAAATGCATTGTAACTACTCTCGAAAAAGCAAAACGTATTTCGATCGCAGTTACTAACAGCGGCGTTGCTGTACCCCCGTATTAATGATACGGGCTTCCAAAATAAGTAATTAAAAAATCGTAAAATATTAATGGATCAGAAAAGAGCCCCTAAGGAATTTTTATACAGGGCCACTAATGACTAGCTACGCCTAAATGAAATGAATGAATAGGTGACACTTGGATCACAAATTAATATTACTATGGAGCAAATTTTATCAAAAAGTTAGATTATATTTTTTAAAATTATAAATTTAATACTTTTTTCAATTGTTTTTACAGAAAGTTCTTTTACTTTTTGGTCTACTTTAATTATTTTTTTAAGGTATATTCTTCTAAATATTTGTATGTGGTTCCACGAAAACACTCTCTAGTTCTAAGAATACCATGAAAACACCTTCAAGCTCTAGGGTTTCCGAGAGTTGAAAAAGTTTGAAGTCCACTGCACTATTTCAATGTGCGTATCATTAGTTGCCCACAATGCATCAAATTTATATGAGATTTCTTTCTATGAAGCATAACATACTCAACAATCTGAATGGTCACTGCAATTCATTTTTTTTATTTCAGGATTATCACAAAAGGAAGACTGGTAAACAATGTTTTTCAGATATCCTTACAAGGAGTCCATAGCTGTTATGCCTAGAAATATAGGTGGCCACTTTATATTGGACTTTCTCTCTTCATCCATCTCATGGGGAATTTTTCTCACTTCCAAACCAGTGTGGTGGCGCCTCTTTTTGCGCTGTACATGTGTTGCAAATTTAAATTCGATAGAACAACTACTAACTTACACTTGTTTTTTTAGGTGAAGCCATTTTGAAACGAGGATGTTTCAAAATGGGGCTGTCGTCTTATCTAGTTTGCATTTCATTAAATAGAAGCTTTAGTCTGTTCTTAATCGAGCATAAAAAGAACTGTATGTTAAGGTTTTAAATTAATTTTTGAAAGTGTACTTACTCATTGTTTTCGGACACACAATAATTATGCTCGAATTAAAGTAGTCTTATTACGTAATACCCAAACAAATATGGTTCCATAAGGTTGCAGCCATTATTAGATTATATCACTGGCGTAGCTGGTCCTTAGTGGGCTCTACATAAAAATTTCTTCAGGCTCCTTTTGGGGAACCGTATCATTAATAAGGTGGGAGCAACGCCCCTGTATTACTTGCATGTTGATATGGAGTTATGAAATTAACCCCTTAACTAGTTTGCCCGTACATCGTACGGGCTACCGAAAGCTAGCCACAACCGGTTTGCCCATCCGCTGTATGGGCACTTATCTTTTCTTATTTCCATCTTTAATTTGCATATACGTTTAATTCTTATAATGAGAATGGAGTGCTTTTAAGAGATACACTGTTTGTCCATGGTACTGAAATTCTTCTCATCCGGTACTTTCTTTGTGGTAAAGGAGGGGATTTTTCTTTGAAGGCAGAAATTTAGATTCCTGAAAATATTTGATAAAGAGCATGGATTGGTAAGGCAATGTGTAAATTGTTGCTTGAAAAGAAATGAAAAAGAAAAAATAATCTAAAAAATGCCGATATTATCTCTGTCCCGATTGCAATGTAAGACTTAGAAATTCACAGTGGCGTAACGTACACCAACGCAACCAATGCAATGCGGGGGAGACCAGGGTTCTAGGGACCCAAAACCTGACTGCCATCATATGCTTACCCTTTGTAAAATCCAACTTGGGGGCCCAAAACCTGACTTTGCAGGGGGGGGGGGCCCAAATGTTCTTTACGGTGGTATTCTCAATCGCGAGTTATTGAAAAGGTAACCCACGGATTGGGTAACCCCCGCTCGAGGGTAACTCTCGGGTAATTCTCGTTTCTTATTCTCCAACTGACGATTACCGGATCCGTGAGTTATGCGTGGGCAAGATGTTAAAGTCGTTGTGATTGGACACTGATAATCACGTGCCGTATTGCTTACATTTTGCGTTGTATTTTGGCGCGAAACATTCGATCAGCTGTTATTTTTTAACACGCTTTTGAAATGTTGAGTAAAACAATCGATAATAAGTAAATATTGATCCACATAACGGTCTGAGCACCTTTCCCAGCTGACAAATTGAATAAATAACCAATTAAAATTAACAAGGAATAGAAACTTCTAACAAAAATCAAATGTCTATTTTGAGCTTTGTTATTATGAATTATTTGTTGTTACATTGTGCTCTACATTTTAAATGTTCTGATGTGATGCTGCCTGAAAATGTGGCTATCAATAGTGTGTTTGAGGGCTAAGATTCTTATTATTAATAAGTGGGGCACATGGTACAAATAAAGTTGGTAATATTATCAGAAAATGTGTTTTGCTTGTTAAATGTTATACAATGAGAATTCAAAACTCGTATTATTTTAAAATTTCAATTTATATTTTGACTGTATACAAGTATAAATATCCTAATCTATTTTTCTTTTTGATTTAAAATTTTCCAGCAACCCTTTGGTAAGTTAAAATAGAATGTAGATTATGTATATAATCACTAATTTAAATAATTTCGAAAGTCTAATAATTATTCGTAATTCATGATTTCTATAAAATCTTAGAATGAAAAATCCAGTTTTTTTGTGAAGAATAAATTTGTTAATTGAATCTTAGGCCTCATTAGTCACATTTATCTAAAACAGAACATGTTACTGAACCTTTTCCAATTCCATCTAACAAAAATAATTATACTATTGGTATTAATCTGATTGTATTTGTCTCAAAACACTATATATCCACACACATTTATCAATATTTTACAATATAGAACAGAAAACAAATGTTACATACACAAAATATTTACAATTTTTCAGTTTTAGCTCCAACCGAGCAGCGTAGTTAGTAAAAAAGTGGTAGCCCGCTTATCTCTGGTGGCGAAATCCGCGAGTTACCCTCCGAAATCGGCGGGTTAGTCCAGTCATCTTAGGGTTTCGCTGCGGAATGAGAGATAATAAGCTGAAAACTCGAAAATACCTTTATTTTGGCATTCTAAAAGTTGTCTCAAAAGTCTCATAAAATCTCGTGTCCGCGTCTTAAGATATTCAAGGTCAAAGGTAAAAAAAATCGGTTTTTTGCAAATATCTCGTTTCCTATGGCTTTAATGTTATTTACATTTATTATAAATATTGTAGAGAATAAAATTTTCTATAACTTTAATTGAAACATTTTTTATACATCAAACCGTTTTTGAGATAGAGGGTGCTGAACGCAAAGCGCTTAGTTATCTACAGCAGAATGCAAGATCGACCGTTAGTCACATGATATAATACGCTGTATATAGTCTATTAACCTTAAAAATATACATAGTTATGAACATTTGGCTTTTTTATTAATTATTATTTCACATTTAGTAATAGATTTCATTAAACAAGTATATGTTTCTTTTATAACTAACTTTTGAACTACACTGTTCGTGTAGTTCAAAAGTTGTTGACAGATATGCTTAAAGTATTTTTTAATTATATTCTATTATTATATATACTAGTTACATTTAAAGTAGAAAAAAATAAAGTAAGTAATTTTTAATTATATTTTTACTTAAAAATATCGTTTTATACAATTATTACAATCGAAATTCGAATGTAAAGAAGTTTTACAAAAATTTTAATTATAAGACGAACATGAATGCTAATTTTTTACCTGTTATTTTTGATTGTCTTTCGATCACTCGAAAATTTGCTATTCATTCTCATTATTTTCGTT